GATCGGGAATTCGTGGCAAAGGTTTTGAGCTGTTCAAAATTTTGGCCACGAAGTCTCGATTCCAAAAAATCGTAGTTAATTCGTAACAAATTCGTAGTGCATTCTTAGGCATCGTAACTGATTCGTAATAGATCGTAATAGATCGTAATAGATCGTAATAGATCGTAATAGATTCGTAGGCATTCGTAGGCATTCATAAAATAACTCATTCAGGAGTGTCCCTCCTCTGGATGACTGGGCTAATCCTGTTGAGTATCTCATCAAACATGTGGGTGGCATTCTTACATAGTTGGCAAAGGCATTCTCATCTTCCACCCTCAGCTCCTGTATCAGTCTGTTGTAGTGACCATATTCTAGCCTTCTAGCTGGTGTCAGCCACGGTCTAACCCACCACCTGGGGGCTCTTCTCCTTCTTCTCCGAAGCAATCTTCTTCTAGCTTTCAGCAGCTGGTGTTGATACTCCAGTTCCAGGGCCAGTACCACAGCTGCTCTACGTTTAACATCCATTTTGGAACCGATGCCTTGATCACACGCCCAAAGGTCCAAAATTTCAAGCAGGGGTGAGGGCTATACCTATCTTGAGGGAAAATCCCACGAATTGTCAAGAATAGTCACGAATTCAATTTTAATCGTACCTGATTCGTAGATGCATTTGGCATATTCTTAACTGATTCGTAACTGACTCCTAACGTTCGTGCAGTATTCGTAATCGATTCTTGTAAATCGTAGTGAATTCTTGACAATATTTGAGCGATTCGAGCCGAATCCCACGAATATTCTTAATCTATCGTACCTGTATCGTAACTCTATCGTACCTGCATCGTAACAGAATCGTAGAGCGTCACGATTTGGACAAGAAATTTGCAAAATTCCACGAATCCTCACGAATCCTAAAATTTACCAATTCGTGGCGATTCGTAGGATTCGTGGTCTGTGTGGAATAGTAGCATAACACGTCTCGTGGCAAACCGCTAAATGTACATGTTGTTACTACTACATCCTACGCGCGTGTCCGCCTCCGGTTGCGACATTTTGTTTCGTGGCACATTAATTAACGAGGTGCCGTGACGGGCGACACTGCGACAGCTAACATGCGGAAACGGGTCGCCTCCTCTCCAGAGTGCCTGCAGCTCTCGCTGTCCACTTCCCACGAACAACACAGGAAGGAAGCTAAGCAACCATGCACCTAAACCAACTTAAACCCAGTGATCGGTGATGACAGGCGTTATTTTCAATTTTTCAATTATCTCAAGATTTTCTTCATTGATTTTTCGATGGAACGTGAGTCACGTAGCAATGATGTATTCACGCGTTTTGCGATTACAAAGAACAAAGCATCAACTCTCCCCCTCTCTCGCTCCATCTCTCCTCTTCCAATCATTCTATCTCGCGCTCTCTCTCTCTCTCTCTCTCTCTCTCTCTCTCTCTCTCTCTCTC